AATAATGTGGTGAAAAATTTAAAGGACATTAATACTAACTTTCAAGAATTTAGTTTAACAACATTTACTTAAGTTAGAAGTGGTTTAAGGCATTCACAACATCCTTGTGTGGTTTTTTAAAAAAATTATTAGGCTAATATGATGTTTGTAATTTTTCCTATAATAATAGGCAAACTTTCTTGCAGATTACAGGAACTTGAATTCTTCTAACCACCAGCCATGGTTTACCTTATCAGTGAAAGCCAATTTTCACTGATTTTGAAATATGTACTGTATATATCAATAAAAACATAGTCAATTAAATAATTTGATTTCTCAGAGTCATTTAGTTTTCGTTAATACTTAAAACATTAACTACTAATGTCCAAATATTCCTGATCTTCTAAATTCATATTTTTAATGTCATAAATCTCAGAAGAATGATAATAATAAACTGATGTCCTTTGAGAGTTACTAAAATGACCAGTTTTATGAAATGACGGTCTCCAAATAAATACATACATTTAAATTATCATAAAATTGAATATTTGTTTAAAAGAACTTATGAACATCTAGATAAATCCTATCAAACAAAACTTCCTATGAAAATGAACAGCTATATTTTTATGTTGAAAATCAGATTCATTATTACAGATATCATATGAACAGAATAACTTCACTATTGCATTAACATTGTCTTGGCTATATGATGGTTAATCAATCGTATGTGTCAACATGGTAAAGCTGTGGGGCATGCAGATCCTCGGTCGACATTATTCTACATAAGTCTGTGAGAATGTTTCTCAATGAGATTAACATTTGACTAGGTAGATGGAGTACAGCACATTGCCTGTATGTAATATATACACATTCTGTTGGTTCTGTTTCTTGTGAGACTCTGACTAGTAAATGTACTGATGAGAATAATAATATAGCTGATATGAACACGATTTTTTTTTTAGACAAAATCTATATAAATTCTCAAGTCCCTGCTATCTTAACAATTCATCTAGTTGTAAAGTTTACCAGTTTGGGTAAATTTAACTATATTAGAATCTTACTTTTCTTATAAAATTTTGAATAATAAGTTAAAATTATAGAGGTGATTTCAGAAATTTTGGCATGGGTCAGATTTGGGGCGTTGGAGAAAGGGTGACCCATCATTGAATGGGTCCTGAATACTCCATTGCAATACTCACGATATCAAACATTGGGACTAATGTGTCAAAGATTAATGTATATAACGTGTAGATAGAAACAAGAGATTAAGAACATGCACATAAACATTGCTTATAAAGGAGGAAAAATCATGTAACTTTCCAATTTGCTTCTAACAAACACAGTGTGTGGCAGATATTTGCTTTATGAAAATATATTTTAAAGGCAATAATACTATTATAATTTTTTTAAATTTTTTTTTATTAGCTACCCATGACATTACAATGATCTTGGCAATTCATACATTTGAATCAATTGGGGTATAATTTCTCATTTTTCTGACTGTACAGATTGCAGAATCACACTGGTCATAGAGTCACCTATAAACATACAGTAATCATAATGTCTATTCTATTCTGCTAATTATGATTTTTTCTGAGCACTTCAGTTACAGTTTTCTATTTTTACTAAATTTGTTTAGGAGAACTAAGTCTTTTCAAGCTTGCTAAATTCACATTCTACAATTCTTAAGATGAGTAAAACCTATGTATTAAAATGGTCAAAAACTTATTTATGAACCCACAGACTTTATTTATAAACCCATAGGGTTTACTCACAAACCCGCAGAGTTCTTTCTGGTGAGAACGTATAAATGTCATGCACACATAGGCAGAGCAGTGCAGTGAGGTATTTGCACTGTTACCATTGTCTTCCCTCTTACTTACTGCAAACGCATCCAAGATCCATGATGAATGGAAGCTGCTAACTTAGATTCTGAAGTAATTGTAATGATGATGACAATCATGATGCTGACAATGCCAGTAATTGCTGACATTTACAGTGTTTACTGTATGTAAGAGCTGCATATAAATAAACCAATTTATCCCCCACAAAACTGCAAAAAGATAGGTTCTACCATTTTTGTTTTACAAAGGAGCAAATGGAGACAAAAATCCAAATTCTCTAACTGTGTAATATACATCTAATAACTGTTATCCTCAATCTGATATTAAGAACTAGATACTCCAGTAATGAATTAAGAGCTAAATTATGATGCAAACACTACAGACTATTATTCATACACTTAGAAATGAAGATGATACAACATGGAAAATGAATACGATGTAATGTTGGAAAATAATCAGAATATAAAATATAAAGTGCTATGTCCACGTCAATTGTGACATTGCAGACATCAGCTCTGATAAGGGCCAGGGAGGAGCTGCGGTGCAGCATGGTGTGGACCTCCTTCTCCACAGCTCCCTCAGTGGCAAGCTGAGCCCAGCTACTTTCCTGGACTAAAGACCTGGGGGCCCCAGTCACCAGTCGTTAAGCCAAAGGAGTTCCTCCTCACCCGCCATCTCTCCACAGCCCACATGCTCCACTTCACCAGGGCCTCCCTTTTCACACTTTGCCAACTCTGTTTAAAATCGGTGTGGACCTAGCATTTTGTATTTTATATTCTGATTATATATTCTGTATCCAAAACATCAGTCACTGCTTCTCTACCTTTATATGCTCCTTCATTGGAGCAGGAAATTTTTAAATTTCCCTTTTATCCTCAAAATTCAGAGGGTCTTCAGATTGTCCTCAAAAGTGTATTTTTTTGAGGCGCCTTCTGCGGTGGTTTCTCCCTTTGCTACAAATTGAAGGAAACGCACATGTGACCTCACCCTCTGCCCCTCCATACCTGTACCTACTCCAGCAACTGTATAGGCATGCTCCCTGTGCCCATGGTCCTAGAGTGTGCCCTCCACACTCCAGAGCTGCTCTCAGCGGCCAGCTAGACATCTCCGCACAGGCACCCTGCCAGCACCCACTCTCACCATTCATAACAGGTCACCATCCTGCCCACAACTGGACTTCATATTCCTGTTTCTCCCATGGACACCCCGTTTCTCCAGTTCTCTAGGAATGAACTACAATGCCAAGTCACTCAAGATTTGTCAAGTACAGCTCCAAGCTCCGTGGCTTTCCCACCCTCCACATCTCCTCTCTGTTCTAGAGGAGCAGCAGCCGGCCTTCTGGCCTCCCACTCTCTGTGTTCATCCCTAGGGCAGGGGGTCACTTGCATTCTGTTACTCCAGGAGGGCTTTGCGGTGACTCCTAATCAGCTGTGCTCTTTCCACCTTTAAAATTTCATGATGCTTTAGAACTTCAGTGGTAATACACTGATGATGATGTTTGACACCCTGTAACTATTAAATTCAACCTCATGAAATTGCTGATGATTTTATCTTTGAAAATGGTAATTCCATATGGCTCAATCCAATATGTCTTTTGGTTTCAGATCCCCAGATAGAGAGTTCCAGATGAAGATAGGAGCTGAGTTTTGTCTTCCACTGAACCCCTGAGAAGCCCAGACTATTGCAAGTATTTGACAAAATAGAGACTCTCCAATCAATAAAAATATCTTATGCATTGATGTCTGTAAAATCAATAATCAGTAGTGATTCATCTAACTGAATATGAAATAGCTAATTGTTTCACCAACCAGTCTACATGGTAGAAAGGAGGAGCCTGAGAAAATTCTGGTTATATATATGGATTCAAGGGGCTGTTTTAAAATCATTTATTTTTGAAGGAAACATTCTTGAATTTAGAGGTTGACAACTACAGTGAAAAGCTTTTTAGTTGACTGAAATAAAAAAAAAATCAAAACAGTTTTTAGCACATGCACTTCCCTTATAAAATCAAATTGCCTGAAAGCAAAGCACAGCAGTTTGTGCACAAAGCTTCTTGTCTCACCACCAGCATCGGGAGAGGCAGGAGAATGACAGGGGCAATTTGCATTTCTATAGCTTCTTTGTGTACCCACATTCCAAAAGCATTTCACAAAGCAATAAATATCAGGGCACAGAAGAGGCAGTGATAGGATGTGGATACCAGGACAGAGGACCCTGGCACTCAGACACTGAGCCCCCAGGCACAGCAGTGGTCACGCACAGTTATAAACAGGAGAGCAATTAATGGGTATTCCTTAAGAGAGGGGGGAAATGTGTCCCGGGTCCTTCACAGAACTTCCTCCTTCCTGCCCCCACTGTCATTTCAGGACCTGTGCCCTCTGTCTGCAGGCACCCACAACAAACCAAGGTTTCAACTGCTGCTCCTCGGCTCTGTGGGGCTGTCCATCAACGCCTAACTAATTCCTCCCATTCCTACCAAAATCATGACTTCTGTTGCATCTGGCTTCAAGGGTGGCGGAGTGGCAGGGTGCCATGGAAGCACAGCTCACCCATCATGTCGGGCCTATTCTAGGGGCGACTTGACTGAAGAGTGGAGAAACTGCACACAAAGGGGTCTTTCTGCGGCTGCAGACTTCCTTCCTGGCCAGCTCAGGAAGGGGCGCTCCCATCCCCGGCAGGGTATTCTCTGAGCCAGCTGTGAAGGGGCCTGAGCCCCGCCAGCTCTAGTGCCTGGAGCAGCGGCTTTGACTGTCCTCCAGGGGTCACAGTCGGGTTACAAATCCCTCCAGCGCAGGGACTGAGCAGCCTGACGGGAACCATTTAGTCGAATCCTTCTTCATTAAGATTCAAATGGAATAAGTAAGATAGAAATTGAACAGACCCAGAAACTGTGCCTGGCTGCTCCTGGAGTCAGTAAACATTTGTCCACCAAGCCCAGCTCGCGGGTCCTCTCCCCCTCTCCTCAACGCAGCTTGTTCTTCCAACCCTTCCTGCTTGCTGTTTTAATGCATAATTAAGAAGGTCAGAATTAATGAAGCAGTGTGGAGGAAAGTTCAAGGAATCCCCAGGCACTATTTATTCTATTAGATCTCGGGCACGAATGTCAGTTGGCAGAGTAAGCGGCATCAGCCGTGGGGCTGGCCGCATCCCAGGAAAGACCCACCCAGGGCCACTCACCTGCACCGTCAAGTCATTCTGGAGCTCCTTCCCTGCAAAAATCACACGCAGCTGGCCAGCTGGAACCCCCTGTCGCTTAGCAACCACTTCCTTGAGCTGGAAGATGCTGGTGTCAGAATCGACCTCCACAGGGAAACCGTGGCTGGAGTTGAATCTGACAAACACTGACCAAGAAGGAGGAGAGGAAAGAGCCAGAGTTACTCGAAGCCCTTAAAGGCAGCGGCAGCCCTTCTGAACCCGTTTACCCCTCACCTGCCCTTCAGTGAAAGGCACGGACTTTCTTTCACTTACTGTATTAACAGAAACTTAATACAGTAGAGCAATGTTTGGGGAAAACAGGGTTCCCTGTGGGGTTCTCTTTCACACATTAGTGACCCGCAAACCAACATGGCCTTTTCCCTTTGACATCCATTTTGGGAAACGGCTGCCTGGCTGGAACTGGGAGATCCCCAGAGTTTGCCAGAGATTCAGCTCAGAAGCTCAGACAGCCCCAACCAAGTCTGGCTCCTCCACTGTTAAAAATCAAAGGCAACGTGTTAAACAGAAAATCCCAGCCAGGCTGTAGACTGGGGGACAGCCCCTCCGGCTACACAAGCCCATGGTCCGGGCGAGAGGCTCCATTCGCTCTACAGATGCAATTATTTGCTTCTCTTTTAAAGCCAACCCCTTCATGGCTCTATTGGAAGCATGTTCCAGGGGACCACAGGCTGAACCCCCGCTGTCGGCAGGCTGTCTTGTCACTTAACATCATTGCCCCGCACCTGCACCTCCTCAGTCTCTCCCTGCTTCCTGCCTTTCCTTGCCGTCCCTCCCCTCACTACCCTAGGACAGGCTCTTGTGAAATCTTTTCAAGATTCTTGCACTAGCTTCCCGACTGGAGTCTTGGTCCTCACTTTTCCCTTCCCCAAACGCTTTACTCCATTCTGCGAAATAAGTTTTACTAATTCAGAGCTCTGACCTTGTGCACCATTCAAATCCTTCAAAGCCTCATCCTGTCCTCTGGGAAGAAAAGGCAAGGCCCCTCCTCTGGCACAAACCACACTCCAGCATGTTCTAGGTTAGTTCCTGCAGGTATTCTGCTAAGAGAACTGCTCCCAGAACACTCTTGCACTCACTGTCTTCCCTTTATTCAAGCCCCGCCTTCATCTCTTCTGCTGAATCCCAGCCCCTCATGTCCAAGTGGGATATCCTTCAGGGGGCCTCTCCTACCAGCCCCAGCAAGAAACTGACCTTGCCTATTCAGGGCTCAGGGGCATTCATGGTGCACCTCTCACTCCACACGGCACACTCCTCGGGGAAGCAGCATACCACTGGGGTCAGAAGAACAGTGTTATGGTTTAGATGTGAGGTGTGTCCCCCAAATATTCATGTGTGAGACAATGCAGAAAAGTTTAGAGGTGAGATGATTGAGTTATGAGAGCCTAACCCAGTCAGTGCACTAATCCCCTCATAGGGATCAAGTGAGTAAGGTGTGGCTGGAGGTAGTGGGTCATTGTGGGCGTGCCTTTGGGGTTTATATTTTGTATGTGGTGATTGGAGACGCTCTCTGCTTCCCAGTATGATGTTTTGAGCTGCTTTCTTCCACTCTTCCACCATGATGTTCTGCCTTGCCTTAGGCCCTGAAGAATGGAGTCAGCCATCTATGGAGTGAGACCTCTAAAATCATGAGCCCCCAAATAAACTTTTCCTCCTTAAAATTGTTCTGGTCAGGTCTTTTGGACACAGTGATGAACAATGCTGATTAAAACAACATGTTTCAGAGTTAGGAAGACCTGTCACCAATCCTATGTGCTCCTTTGTGTACTCTGTAGGCTGAGGGCAAGACTCTTTAGGTCTTAGTTCCTAATCTTAAAATTAGGAATAAACTGCAGACAACACTATGTGATGCATTAAATAGATATTTAAGTGCTTAGATAGTAACCTTCAAAAATGGTGACTATTTAAATATGTCTTCACTATTTGGGGCATTCATTTTACCTTCTCTAAAAGATGGTAAACTTCTCAAGAGTGGATACTCTCATTCATTTACTGCCTTACTGCTTTTAAATGTAGCACTAGAAGATCTCAACTTGAATTGAAACAAAATAATAATTACAATGTCAATAATCATCAGGCACTAACACATGCCAGATGCTACACTTCACAGGAGCTTTTATCTGAGCCCCTCAAGGATCTGGTCAGGTTGCTATTATTGTCCTTTTATAATAGAACAGTGAATGAAGGCCCAGAGAATTGAAGTCACTTTCCTAAGGACATCAACTTCTTTGTAATGAAATCATAATTCAAATTCAGTTCAATCTCACTCTCAAACTCATCCCATTTCTACTGTAATAGGATGCCTGAAACATTCTCAGGATTGTCCACATTCCTTTCCCTGATAATAAAAAGATCACAATAATGATAAAAAAGGCCTTCCTAACATAATTCAGATATTCCCTTCACTGATAAGTAGTAAAAAATGGGATTAAAAATAAACAACAAACAAAACAAAATCCCCAGAACTCCAGCGAGAAGCTAAGACCAAGGATCAAGGAATGATGGTCTAAGATGCAGTGAAATGAGAACAACAAAAGGGAGCAGGTGGCGTCAGAGAGGCCACCAGAGTAAGAGCCTGGCACATGGTTAGCATGGGGGAGGTTTAGGAAAAGCAAGGACTGGAAGTGACGAGTGTTCCAATCAAAGAAAATTCCTGAAAAAATCCCAATGCGAGGAGAGGGTACTATGGATGTACTTGTAAGTAGATTGACAGTGGAGGAAAAGAAAAATGTACTGAGGGTCTTGAGATATAGTCACAGTATCCTCAGATCAAAGACTACAGACAGCCAATCTACCAGGTGAGGACCAGAACAGGCAAGGGCTACACAGGACAAAGACGTGGCCCCAGTTCTAAATCTGACTCCCTACTAGTGGGAACAAATTTTCTGAAAAAAGCAAAACACCATGGGGGTGGGGGGAGCATTTAGGAGGAAGCAGCTGGGAACTACACACAAGCTTTCAGAAACTGCAAAAACCCAAGAGATCCTCAGTTGATGGGTTTCTCTAGGGGTTGAAATCATGGGAATTTATTGCAAAGGCAAAAATTATAAAGGAAAATAATGTAAAAACTGTACAAGAAAACTGTACAACTATTGAAGTCATCGGTGTCTTCACAAAATTTTTCTATAGATATAGCATTTGAAGTTATAAACCTCAAGATGAATTTGGATAAATCATACAAATACTATAGAAATGAATATTTCTGAATAGAAAGTCTGAGATATAATGTGAAATTTATAATAGAAAGATTAACTAAATATAATAGAAAGATTAACCAAATACATAGTAGGTATTTGGCTACTAAAACATTTCCATGAATGAGAAGAAATACTTTTAAGAAAAAATAACCTGGTCAATAATGGAATGCCATGTGAAAAATGACTGGTGTCATTTCCAGTGGGTCTTGGCCTTTTTTGACACACGTGAGAAATGTGTCCTGTCCCATCTGTACTAGCTCCTTCACTCCAGCTGTGATTTCCAAAAGAGGAGAGGAGGCAGCACCCCACCCTTTCCCTTATAGAAAGCAGAACATCTTTATAGTCAAGAAAAAAGAAATTCAAATCCTGGATGTGCCACTTGGCTCATTTTATAATTTGAGACAAGTTATCTGGTGACCTTGACTCTCAGTGTCCTTATCTGCTGAATGAGGGTAATATATATAACCTCAAGTGCCTGTTACATAAGACTTATTGAGATTATGGATGCACAAGAAAATTCCAGGAGCAGCAGAAATAATCCTTAAAACAGGGCACTCAGTACAGGGCAAGTTGGTGCTCCTAAAATCGTTCCCACCTTTAGCCATCCAGAGGAGGTGAACTAGTCACAGCAACACCCATTGCAACAGAGGCAGGTTAGATGGAAAGTGGGTAAATACTACATAAAGTAGACAGATTTCCTGGTTTTTTGATCAGATACAGAAAACTTCTGCGGATAAAGAGTTACAACAGAATTTGGCTTGTTTCCATTTCTTCAACTTACATTAGAAGTTTGCATTGTGTTAATAATTTTAATGATACCTATTAGAGCACCAGAAGTAAACACCATGTCAAAAAGCATCATCAGTAAAGCATATTATCACTGAACACCAGAATGCCCCGCCAAGGAAAAAGATAAGGAGCCCCTAACCAGGGCTCAGGAGTCTCAGAGGATGAGGAAGTGACTGGAAAGGAAGAGGGAAAAGAATCCCTGGTTGTCTGGTCTTTATATTTCTTTTAAGGTCATTTTATTTGCACAATCTGACCAGGGTATCAGTCACCTCGGAGGAGGATCCTTACACGGCTCTGGTTGTTTTCCAAGCAGCCATTCTGCTCTTCCTGCATGAGAGCAGGGACAGCTGGAGCACTGGATTAGAGCATCACCCCATCCACCTAGTCATTGGTTCAGTGGTGACATTTATTCCCCTGGTCAGAGTGACTCTGACACGGTGATGTAAGGCAGACTAATCAAAGTGAGACCCAGGACTGCCACAGGGTTGACGTAGAAGTACTTTTAGATGGCATGAACATCAACATTTTTGTTGAAAGAAACCGAGAAAAGCAAAGCCCACAGCAGACCACTCAGTCAACTAGTAAACCCGCTGGCCCGACTGGGGACAGGGCGATTCCGCCTCAGGAGGAAATGCCCTGGGTTCTGTAGGCTGTTTAGCGCCACCTGCAGGCCAGTGAGTAAAGGAACTCATACTCCTGGGGTGACAAAAAACCAAGCTCAGGTTTCCAAAGGTCACTGGTTGAGGGTGTTTCCTCTTCACCTTGGAGAACATCACCAAGTCTGCCATCACCACCATAAGCAAGCCAGCCTTCCTCACATTCCCCTCACATTTTCTGCATAAAAATTTCACTGAGAACTTCTGATACGTATATTCTTCATTTTTAGACATTTGACATCATTTTGCAAATATACATTTGAAGACTGCTCTTAAAGCCATGTCCTGCACATTTCTAATCCCGTCATCACTTCTCTCTTACAACATTTGCCTTTTCATAGGTATTCCATACTGTTGGCTGGAATTGAACCCGGGGCACTGTGCACGCTAGACAAGTTCTTGACCACCCCAGCCTCCTGTTCTGATACGGCCTTTTCTCTTGATACCTGGTGCCACATCCTCCTGGTTTTCTCCTACGACACAGGACAGCTTCATCTTTGGACTATTCTCCTTTGTTTTAGCTGCAGATTCTGGGATAACCCAGGTCTTTTTGGACTGTTTCTTATCCATGTATTCTCCTAGGCAACCACATCTAATCCCATGCTAATGCAAGGATATGTCAGGAGCTCCCAAATC